CCACTACACTCGCTCAACACTAGTACACTCACCACTAGTACACTCATCACTAGTACGCTCACCACTACACTCACCACCAGTACACTCACCACTAGTACACTTACAAGTACACTCACCACTACACTCACCACTAGTACACTCACCACTAGTACACTCACTAGTACACTCACCACTAGTACACTCACCATTAGTACACTCACTAATACACTCACCACTAGTACACTCACTGGTACACTCACCACTAGTACACTCACCACTAATACACTCATCACTACACTCACCACTAGTACACTCACCACGACACTCACCACTCGTACACTCAGCACTACGCTCACCACTACATACATGTCAACCCCTTATCAGTGCCCTACCTTGTTATAGACCAATTCAGACCTTATTCGTCACCCTGTGCCCCTTATAAATCTCAACGTTCATCCTACAAAGTCCCATAACAAGGGAGAAACACAAACCAATAGACACACTTTTGTTTGACTCAATTTCCCTGTACAGGAATACGGGTAAGCCGCATGGCTTCACAGCTATGAACTGCGTCGCAGCGCGGGTAGGAATCAGCGGTTGTAAGGCCGCCTCGGCGTGGCGTCGTCGTCGTCACACGAGGCATTGGGATGCTGCTGGATCCTTCTAGACGCTACCCACGCGCCTCGGTCTGTGGTTTCGGCCTGCGTGCCCACCTCACGGCGTTATCGCGGGCTGCGCTCGACTCCGCTGTAGTTTGTTTAATTCTAAGGCGACGTTTCCAGCACGCGGTGCTCTTCGCGAACGAAAACTTACAACACCGCAGCGTCACAACTTGATTCGAATTCGGAGTAAATTGGTGAAAGCGGAAAGACGGAGCGTGGTGGTTGGTGGTGGTGGTTGGTGGTGGTGGTTGGTGGTGGTGGTGGTTGGTGGTGGTGGTGGTGGTTGGTGGTGGTGGTTGTTGGTGGTGGTGGTTGGTGGTGGTGGTTGGTGGTGGTGGTTGGTGGTGGTGGTTGGTGATGGTGGTTGGTGGTGGTTGGTGGTGGTGGTTGGTGGTTGGTGGTGGTGGTGGTTGGTGGTGGTGGTTTTTGGTGGTGGTTGGTGGTGGTTGCTGGTGGTGGTTGGTGTTGGGGGTGGGTGGGTGTGGTGGTTTGTGGTGGTGGTGGTTGGTGGTTGGTGGTTGGTGGTGGTGGTGGTGGTGGTTGGTGGTTGGTGGTGGTGGTGGTGGTTGGTGGTGGTGGTTGGTGGTGGTGGTTGGTGGTGGTGGTTGGTGGTGGTTGTTGGTGGTTGGTGGTGGTGGTTGGTGGTGGTGGTTGGTGGTGGTGGTTGTTGGTGGTTGGTGGTGGTGGTTGGTGGTTGGTGGTGGTGGTGGTGGTTGTTGGTGGTGGTTGGTGGTGGTGGTTGGTGGTGGTGGTTGTTGGTGGTTGGTGGTGGTTGGTGGTGGTGGTTGGTGGTGGTTGTTGGTGGTTGGTGGTGGTGGTGGTTGGTGGTGGTTGTTGGTGGTTGGTGGTGGTGGTGGTTGGTGGTGGTGGTTGGTGGTGGTGGTGGTTGGTGGTTGGTGGTGGTGGTTGGTGGTGGTGGTTGTTGGTGGTGGTTGGTGGTGGTGATGGTGGTGGTTGGTGGTGGTGGTTGGTGGTGGTTGGTGGTGGTGGGAGGAGGAAGTGGAGGCGGAGGTGGGGGAGGTGAGTACCGTGAGCCCCCCCCCCCGCCACGGGTGCGACTCGCCAACGCGCCCTCGCCCTGACATTCCCTGGAGGCTCTCACTCGGCGGGTGTGCGGCGTCTTCGTGTCGCACCCCTCGTGGGCAATCATTAACGCCCATCCGCTCCGCCAGGTGAACTCAATCAACACCCCAACACAATGACCTTGGCTCGGGCCCACGACAACCTTGACGAGTGCACCTCGAACCTTTACGAGCAAACCGAACGCGATCAGCGCACCCCCCTCCTGCCCCCACCCAAATCTCGTTCGCTGATTTTTGTGTGGGGGTCCAGCGGCTCGCCAGGGCGGGCCTCACGACACCGCTCGCTGTCTCCTTCACTCAGCATCGCTTCGTGGTGGGAAGGGGGGGGGGGTGAAGAGGAAAACATTTTCGGCATCAACTCTCGAGGGCTCTTCATCTCTCCACAACCAACGCAGCAACAGCAGCAGCAGCAGCCCGCAGTCGTCACAATGAAGAGATGGGGACCACCCCGGATCGGAACGATGGACGGGGTGGTCGTGTCCCCGATGTTGAAGCGAGAGCGACGGCATCGTTGGGCACTCCGCCTTGGTTACTGCGAGCGTGGCTACGTCCAAGAAAAATGTTTTTTTTTAAGAAGTTGCGCTGGAATCCACCGTAAATAAACAAAATCTATGGAGTCGACGACGTTGGCATTGCGATGCCACCAGAAGCTTCAAAGGTCTCCCGAACCTCGCAGCATCTCCACCCTTCTCGCTGCGTTGATGGAACTCCCCACGCCCAACCCAGCACCACGACTCAGTCCCCATCTGACGTCGTTCGTGGATAGCCGCAGCATCCCAGACGACGTCATCCACATTCAAGCAGCAGGTTCGCATCTTAGTCCGGCTCTCATCTGGTCCAGGCTCTCACGTGGTCCAGGCTCACACCTGGACCAGGTTCTCACGTGGTCCAGGTGAGAGCCTGAACCAGGCTCTCACCTGGTCCAGGCTCTCACGTGGTCAAGGCTCTCACCTGGTCCAGGTTATCACGTGGTCCAGGTTATCACGTGGTCAAGGCTCTCACCCGGACCAGGTGAGAGCCTGGACCAGGCTCTCACCTGGACCAGGCTCTCACCCGGACCAGGCTCTCACCTGGACCAGGCGCTCACCTGGACCAGGCTCTCACCCGGACTAGGTGAGAGCCTGGACCAGGCTCTCACCTGGACCAGGCTCTCACCTGGACCAGGCTCTCACCTGGTCCGGGTGAGAGCCAGGCTCTCACCTGGACCAGGCTCTCACGTGGTCCAGGCTCTCACCTGGACCAGGCTCTCACGTGGTCCAGACTCTCACCTGGACCAGGCTCTCACCTGGACCAGGCTCTCACGTGGTCCAGGCTCTCACCCGGACCAGGCTCTCACGTGGTCCAGGCTCTCACCTGGTCAAGGCTCTCACCTGGACCAGGATATCACGTGGTCCAGGCTCACACGTGGTCCAGGCTCTCACGTGGTCCAGGCTCACACGTGGTCCAGGCTCTCACCTGGTCAAGGCTCTCACCTGGACCAGGATATCACGTGGTCCAGGCTCTCACCCGGACCAGGCTCTCACGTGGTCCAGGCTCTCACCTGTTCACGGTGGCACACGACGGACATTGGTTCCTAGCTTCGCGCCTCCGAGTTTTCTATGGAAAATTGCATCAAATTTGCGAAATATGAATCAGAACTTTTTTTTATTATTTTATGAGCGTTTGAGTTTATTTTTACAATCGTGTGTATGTGCACGAACAGACATTCTCAAGAATAATGAGGCTAATAATACTGTATATATATATTTCCCAAGACATATTTATTCATTTATTTTTTAAAAAGCGCTCAAGGTCAAAAGGTCATCACCACCATCATCACCACCATCACCAAAGACAAAAATCTCCCCGTGTAGCCTTAACAGACTGTTGGGGCAAGTACAGTTAAGCGAGCAGCACCTATGAAGGCCGGCACTGTGGCACACGAAGGGGTGGGTGGCTGGCGCCACGCCCGGCCGCCTTTGTCTCCCCAGTGGCGATGTTTACACATTCGCACCAGGTACTCATTTGAGGGCTGAGTCGACCTAGGGGAGGCTCAGGACCGGTTCAGACAATCGTCACCGATGTTGGCGGCCGTGAGCGGGAAACAGAACCCGGCTTGGCGGGTTTGTGGCCCAGCGTAGCGCTAACCGCTGCACCACCGCTCCCCGCCACCGCCACTACCACCGCCACTCACCATCGGCCAGCTTGTTTTTGTGACGTCCAAACTGTTCAGCGCACGGTCATGCAACCAGCTGGCCTCGCAGGTACGGCGCAGCTCAATCTCCCGTGGAACTGCTTTGTCCACGCGCGAGCGGGCGGTGGTTACGCCTCAAGCAGAATCAAGACGGCGTCTTGGGGATCGTAGTCTCCCAGCCGCGGCTGGAGAAATTTGACGCTGGAAAAGTCGAGTCTCCGATCCGGCGCGAGCAAACGGTCGCGCGCAACCCCGGCACGCAACGGGTCGCGTGCGGGGCGAGTCGGTCACGCGTGGATCCGAGTGTAGCAAGAGATGATTTAAAAGGAGATTGACAAGCTCGGCACACAACCCAGTTTATACGAACCGCGTGACAACGCAAGACTCGTGGAAGCTATCTACAACAACGATTGCGTTTGGAGTCTCTTATTGTGATAACGTTTTACACGTAATTATATAAAAATACAAACCCCCTCCCCCCCCCCCCCAGTATAGCCTTCAATAGACTGTAGGGGCAAGTGCTGTTAGCGAGCAGCACCTATGAAGGCCAGCAAGGCACACGAGGGGGTGGGTGGCCAGCACCACGCCCGGCCGCCTTTGTCTCCCCAGTGACGATGTTTACTACACCACACCACACCAAGTAGATCAAACCGAGCAGAGGCCCAGGACCGGTTCACTTTAATGTCACTGTTGTTGGTCGTGAGCGGGAATCGAACTCAGGTGCCTGGGTTTGTAGAACAGCACGTTAACCAACTGCGCCCACCGCTCCCCATCTATATACAAAGGCAAAAGTCCCCCGTGAAAGCATGATTTTGGGGCAAGTGCTATTTACACATTACGTACACACGCACACGCGATTTAACATCGAAGTTTGGGTCAGGCCACGTTCAAGGCTCGCGCGGGGGATGTTTGTCGGGGTTTTTGGCCAATTTTTGTTTTTGTCACGAAGCCTTCCACCACCCGACCTGGCTATAGCCGCCAAGCTGGATAGCAGCTCTCGGAAGCAAATCACAGTGGAGATTAAACGCGATCTACATCATTGGATGCACCGGCGTGAGGATGCGTTACTCCGCTTCAATCGACGCATTGGAGCACCACGCCCGACCGCCTTTGTCTCCCCAGTGGCGATGTTTACAGCCGACCTATCCGAATAAAATAAAAACTTGGGAGAATGTTTGAGTCGGGTCGCGGAGTCAGGGGTCAGACAGTGCCGGGGTCACGGGGTCACCATGGTTTACTTTACCAGGGCGCGATGACCGCTACCCCCAGCCACGGTCTGTCCACTGCTGGATGAACCTAAACCATGAACGAAGTTTTTATTCTTATTTTACCGGGTAAAGGCCCCACTGAGCTGCGGAGTAGCTGTCTTTCAGAAGCGGCCTGGTCATCACAAACGACGGCTGATCATGTTCGTCATCATCACGTGGCACTTTTATAGCGGCAACCAAAAACTCTAAAAGGCGTGACGTGGGTTCTCAATGTGGACGGGGAAAACAACGGGGACAATTCCACGCGACCACGGAGAGAGAGAGAGAGACGCGCAGACTTCAAATATACAGCAGCAGCAGGTGTCAGGGTGGGGATCGAACCCACGCCCTCCTGCATACCAGGCGAGGGAGTCAACATCTCCCAGCCACAGTCCGACGGCCCTTGGGGTGTAACAAATGAGGCTCAAAGAACCAGACTACAGCTCCATGGGGTTCAGTGTGAATGACCGAGGCTCACGGAGCCAGACTGATGCCCGTTTAAGTTCATTCCCGTTCAGTGTTAACGACTCGGGGTCAGGGAGCACCCTGGGTTACATCCCGGGATGAGGACGGCTCTGGAGGGGAGGAGCCAAATATCTGGTAGGGGGGCGGAGCCATGGAGCTCGTGGGCGGAGCCAGGAATGAGGAGGCGGGGCTACTGGATGCTGCCGTAGGTGTGGCTCGCGTCTCCGTTGTCGGTGGGGACTCGCGTGTAGTGGGGCTCGGGGTCCCTCGTGCAGCGCACCACCCTGGGGAGAGGGACACGGAGGGGGGGGAGATAGTGGGAGACACGGGGAGATAGTGGGAGACACGGGGAGATAGTGGGAGACACGGGGAGATAGTGGGAGACACGGGGAGATAGTGGGAGACACGGGGAGATAGTGGGAGACACGGGGAGATAGTGGGAGACACGGGGGGGGAGATAGTGGGAGACACGGGGAGATAGTGGGAGACACGGGGGGGGAGATAGTGGGAGACACGGGGGGGTGGGGGGACACGGGGAGACACGGGGAGAGACAACAAGTTACACCCAAGTTTAATTCAGATTGAATCATCTTTACTCCCCAACCCCCCACAACCCCCCACAACTCCCCCCCATCCCACCCCCAACCCCCACCCAGCCCCCCAACCCCCCACCCCCCCCCCAACCCCCCAACCCCCCACCAACCCCCCCAACCCTCCCTACCCCCCCAACCCCCCCCAACCCTCCCTACCCCCCCTCAACCCCCCAACCCCCCCCAGCCCCCCCAACCCCCCCCAACCCTCCCTACCCCCCTCACCCCCCCAACCCCCCCCAACCCCCCCCAGCCCCCCCAGCCCCCCCAACCCCCCAACCCCTCCAACCCGCTTGAGAACACAAAGCAGAGTCTCTACTCAGAGTTAGGCCTCGATAAGGTAAAAGGTAAAAACAATGAGCCTACCTTTACCCTACCTTTTACCATTACCCCATACAAATTACCCGATTACAGGGTAATTACTGGGGTACTGCTACACATGAACAAGGTTTATAACAGGTAAATGCTAGGTAGAGTGCTTTATTCATCTATAGAATACTCTCGATTATTCCAATTTTACACGCTTTCTTTAAACTCACTCTGTTGTTGTCGTTGTTGTATCCTCAAATCTTGTAACTCAATTGTAACCCACTTCCCAATGTGGTTTCGACTGCGAACTTGGTATACTTATGTCATACTGATGACAATACTATATTCTATCATTCAAAATAAAATATAAATATTTTTAAACATTATTTTGTATATGTTTCCGCTTGTGTCTAATTGTCCACTGTTAACTGACGTTGGCTGTAAGTGTCCACGGTCCCCTTACGTTGTGGGGAGCTTGGGGCCACTTCCTGGAGTCGAGGAGTTCTTACATTACTAGTAGGGTACATTTACATTAAAACGTGTTTTAAAAAAGTTTAAAAAAATTATTACTTACATTTTGATTTAAAGCTTTCGTGACTGCAGTAATTTATATTCCTAGCTCTTTCGGTAAAGTCACGTTGATGGGAAACAATAAAATAATAAAATATATGTAAAACAATAAAAATTATCACGACGTTTCGACCATAACACAAACGATCGTCATCAGGGGGGTGGAGGTAGGGGGGTGGAGGTAGGGCGGGTGGAGGTAGGGGGGGTGGAGGTAGGGGGTGGAGGTAGGGGGGGGTGGAGGTAGGGGGGGTGGAGAGAGGGGGGGTGGAGGTAGGGGGGTGGAGGTAGGGGGTGGAGAGAGGGGGGGTGGAGGTAGGGGGGGTGGAGGTAGGGGGGGTGGAGGTAGGTGGGTGGGTGGAGGTAGGGGGGGTGGAGGTAGGGGGAGTGGAGGTAGAGGGGGTGGAGGGAGGGGGGTGGGTGGAGGAAGGGGGGGTGGAGGTAGGGGGGGTGGAGAGAGGGGGGGGGGGCTCACCCGACCAGCGCCATAGGAATGAGCATGAAGGCTGCTGCGAGCAGGAAGCTGAAACCGGGGAACCAGGCGACGGTGGCTGTGTAGACGCTGTTGAAGATGAGGGTGGAGACAAGAGCGCTCACCATCTCCACGCACGCCACGGCCGCGAACACCGCCCCTGCAACAGCAGCACAGAACACAAAGATGATCCCCACCTCCGTGTCGCCTTCGACAGTCTGTCGGGCAGTGCCAGATGATCCTCGTAGTAAAAGTAGCTACGTATGTACAGTGAGAGAAAAACAGTATTTGATCCCCTGATGATTTTGTACGTTTGCCCACTGACAAAGAAATTATCAGTCTATAATTTTAATGGTAGGTTTATTTGAACAGTGAGAGACAGAATAACAACAACAAAATCCAGAAAGACGCATGTCAAAAATGTTATAAATTCACTTGCACTTCAATGAGGGAGATAAGTATTTGACCCCTCTGCAAAACATGACTTAGTGCTTGGTGGCAAAACCCTTGTTGGCAATCACAGAGGTCAGACGTTTCATGTAGCTGGCCACCAGGTTTGCACGCATCTCGCTACATGGCAGCAGGTGCTCGTTTGAGACCGAGTCGACCTTGGCGAACCCCGGGACCGGCTCAGACGACTTGATGCGTCACTGGCGTTGGGGAATCGAATCCCGGCTCTCTGTCGGGCTCACGGAGCGTGTCTCGTCGTGGTCGGATTCGAGGTCACGTGCTCGACAGACTCGGCGGACGGTGCGGTGCCAGACGACACGCGGGGATCACGGTCACAGTGAGGCATCGCTCAGCTGTGCGGAGGGGAGGAGAACGCCCGAGAGAGTGCTGTGACGTACACAGGCGCACACGTGCACACACACACACGCACACACACGCACGCATGCACCCACACACACGCACGCACACACGGGGAGCACACGCGCACACACGCACACACACACGCACACACACACACGCAGACAGGCACACACGCGCACACACACACGTGCACACGCGAGCTGGATTCCCATTCATAACCGGGTGTGGGGGTCTCACCTTGCTCGCTGGGCTGCACGGCCTTGGACAGCATGGAGCGGATGACGGGCGCCGGCATGACGGTGAACATGAGAGGGATGTTCGCTACGGGGGGGGCGGGAGCACAGAGACCCATAAACTCACACAGAGACCCATAGACTCACACAGACCCAGACTCACATAGAGACCCATAGACTCACACAGAGACCCAGACTCGCACAGAGACCCATAGACTTGCACAGAGACCCATAGACTCACACAGAGACCCATAGACTCACACAGAGACCCATAGACTCACACGCAGACCCATAGACTCACACAGACCCAGACTCACATAGAGGCCCATAAACTCACACAGAGACCCATAGACTCACACAAAGATCCAGACTCACATAGAGACCCATAGACTCACACAGAGACCCAGACTCACATAGAGACCCATAGACTCACACGCAGACCCATAGACTCACACAGACCCAGACTCACATAGAGACCCATAAACTCACACAGAGACCCATAGACTCACACGCAGACCCAGACTCACGTAGAGACCCATAAACTCACACAGAGACCCATAGACTCACACAGAGACCCAGACTCACATAGAGACCCATAGACTCACACAGAGACCCAGACTCACATAGAGACCCATAGAATCACACGCAGACCCATAGACTCACACAGACCCAGTCTCACATAGAGACCCATAAACTCACACAGAGACCCATAGACTCACACAGAGACCCAGACTCACATAGAGACCCATAGACTCACACAGAGACCCAGACTCACATAGAGACCCATAGACTTACACGCAGACCCATAGACTCACACAAAGACCCAGACTCACATAGAGACCCATAAACTCGCACAGAGACCCATAGACTCACACAGAGACCCAGACTCACATAGAGACCCATAGACTCACACGCAGACCCATAGACTCACACAGAGACCCAGACTCACATAGAGACCCATAGAATCACACGCAGACCCATAGACTCACACAGACCCAGTCTCACATAGAGACCCATAAACTCACACAGAGACCCATAGACTCACACAGAGACCCAGACTCACATAGAGACCCATAGACTCACACAGAGACCCAGACTCACATAGAGACCCATAGACTTACACGCAGACCCATAGACTCACACAAAGACCCAGACTCACATAGAGACCCATAAACTCGCACAGAGACCCATAGACTCACACAGAGACCCAGACTCACATAGAGACCCATAGACTCACACGCAGACCCATAGACTCACACAGAGGCCCATAGACTCACAGAGACCCACATACTCACACAGAGCCCCACAGACTCACACAGAGACCCGTAGATTCACACAGAGACCCGTAGACTCACACAGAGACCCGTAGACTCACACAGAGCCCCACAGACTCACACAGAGCCCCACAGACTCACACAGAGCCCCACAGACTCACACAGAGCCCCACAGACTCACACAGAGCCCCACAGACTCACACAGAGCCCCACAGACTCACACAGAGCCCCACAGACTCACACAGAGACCCACAGACTCACACAGAGCCCCACAGACTCACACAGAGCCCCACAGACTCACCCAGAGCCCCACAGACTCACACGGATACCCACAGCCACACAGAGGCGGCGGGGAGCGCCGTGGCTAGCGCCCGGCGCGCCTCACCAAGGAACATGGCGAGCGAGGTTCTGGCGAACGCCGTGGTGACCATGCCTCCGGCGAACGACGCCATCCCCACGAGGGCGATGGCTCCGTCGGGCACGCGGAAGCGCGACGCCAGCGTCACGCCGAGGAACGAGGTGACGTAGACGCAGCAGAAGAGCGCCTGGCCGTAGCCCACCATGACGGCGCCCCAGCAGAGCGGCGGGCCCTGCTGGTAGAGGGTCAGGAGGCCGGAGCCGCCGAAGAACGCCAGCGCCACCGTGGCGAAGGTGCCGAGCAGCAGCAGCAGGCGCCGCCGCCTCGCCGGGTCGCCGCCGGCGCGGACGAGCAGCACGAAGCCCTGCACGGTCTCGCGGGCGTAGTCGCCCACGGTCTTGGGGCGCCCCTGCTGCTGCTGCTGCCCCTGCTGCTGCCCCTGCTGCTGCCCCTGCTGATGGCGGTCGCCGGGAGCGTGCTGGGGATCGGCGAGCAGCGGCGGTCCCCCGCCAGCGCCAACGGTCTCGTGCAGAAAGAAGGCGGCGTAGAAGAGGCACACCACGTCGACGCCCACCTCGAAGTAGAACGGCGCCAGGAGGCCCTTGATGCCCTCGGCCACCTGCGGGGGTTGGGAGGGGTCGATCACGCGTCGACGCGGAGGCTCCCGCGGAGACGACCGCCAGGAGGATGTGGGCAGAGACCCCCACGCGGACTTGGCCATAGAGGCCAGCTGGAGGAGCTGTCGCCTGCCCGCGTGCACGCGTGTGTGTATGTGTGTGCGCGTGTGTGTGGGTGTGCGTGTGTGTGTGTGTGCGTGCGTGTGTGTGTGTGTGCGCGTGTGTGTGTGTGTGCGCGTGCGTGCGTGTGTGTGTGTGCGTGCGTGTGTGTGCGTGTGTGTGTGCGTGCGTGTGTGTGTGTGCGTGTGTGTGTATGCGTGTGTGTGTGTGCGTGTGTGTGTGTGCGTGTGGCGGCACGGGGCCCCGCGTTACCCTCATGAAGTGTCCCGAGGCGAAGGAGGCGCCGATTCCCACGGCTCCCAGCGCCATCTCCAGCAGAGCCACGCGCCAGTTGCGGTTCATCTACGAGAGGCGATTCGGGAATTGTGAGCGGCGCGAGACCAGCGCCGAGAGGATTGTCGTCGTGCGCGCGGCGCGACCCGGCGCGCGGTCTCGGCCTCGTCCCGAGCCCTGGGGGCACCCCCTGGGGGCACCCCCTGGGGGCACCCCCGGCAGGAGCCGTCCCTGAAACTCGATCCAATAGCGGTTATGCAACCTCATGTGACTGAAGACTCGCACACACTCGTAGAGGGCTGTACAGGGACTCCTCTAATTATGACCATTTGGCTGACGAACTTTCCGAGATAGAAACAAACGTGGGCCGTATGTCCAGTTGCCTGTTCGGACCGGGAGTCGTAAGTTCAACCGCCACGCAACAGATGGCGGTGGTGGCATCTACATCTGCAGAACGTGAAGAACCAGTGGCATCTACATCTGTAGAACGTGAAGAACCAGTGGCATCTACATCTGTAGAAGGTGAAGAACCAGTGGCATCTACATCTGCAGAAGGTGAAGAACCAGTGGCATCTACATGAACAGAACGTGAAGAACCAGTGGCATCTACATCTGCAGAACGTGAAGAACCAGTGGGATCTACATCTGTAGAAGGTGAAGAACCAGTGGCATCTACATCTGCAGAAGGTGAAGAACCAGTGGCATCTACATCTGCAGAATGTGAAGAACCAGTGGCACCTACATCTACAGAACGTGAAGAACCAGTGGCATCTACATCTGTAGAAGGTGAAGAACCAGTGGCATCTACATCTGCAGAACGTGAAGAACCAGTGGCATCTACATCTACAGAACGTGAAGAACCAGTGGCATCTACATCTGCAGAACGTGAAGAACCAGTGGCATCTACATCTGCAGAGCGTGAAGAACCAGTGGCATCTACATCTGCAGAACGTGAAGAACCAGTGGCATCTACATCTGCAGAACGTGAAGAACCAGTGGCATCTACATCTGCAGAACGTGAAGAACCAGTGGCATCTACATCTGGAGAACGTGAAGAACCAGTGGCATCTACATCTGCAGAACGTGAAGAACCAGTGGCATCTACATCTGCAGAACGTGAAGAACCAGTGGCATCTACATCTGCAGAACGTGAAGAACCAGTGGCATCTACATCTGCAGAACGTGAAGAACCAGTGGCATCTACATCTGCAGAACGTGAAGAACCAGTGGCATCTACATCTGCAGAACGTGAAGAACCAGTGGCATCTGCATCTGCAGAACGTGAAGAACCAGTGGCATCTGCATCTGCAGAACGTAAAGAACCAGTGGCATCTGCATCTGCAGAACGTGAAGAACCAGTGGCATCTACATCTGGAGAACGTGAAGAACCAGTGGCATCTGCATCTGCAGAACGTGAAGAACCAGTGGCATCTACATCTACAGAAGGTGAAAAACCAGTGGCATCTACATCTGCAGAACGTGAAGAACCAGTGGCATCTGCATCTGCAGAACGTGAAGAACCAGGGGCATCTGCATCTGCAGAACGTGAAGAACCAGTGGCATCTGCATCTGCAGAACGTGAAGAACCAGTGGCATCTACATCTGCAGAACGTGAAGAACCAGTGGCATCTACATCTGGAGAACGTGAAGAACCAGTGGCATCTGCATCTGCAGAACGTGAAGAACCAGTGGCATCTACATCTACAGAAGGTGAAAAACCAGTGGCATCTATATCTGCAGAACGTGAAGAACCAGTGGCATCTACATCTACAGAAGGTGAAGAACCAGTGGCATCTACATCTGCAGAACGTGAAGAACCAGTGGCATCTACATCTGCAGAACGTGAAGAACCAGTGGCATTTGCAGAACGTGAAGAACCAGTGGCATCTGCATCTGCAGAACGTGAAGAACCAGTGGCATCTGCATCTGCAGAACGTAAAGAACCAGTGGCATCTACATCTACAGAATGTGAAGAATGAGTGGCATCTACATCTACAGAACATGAAGAATGAGTGGCATCTACATCTACATAAGATTATACAACTTTTAAAGCAATTCCCCGTGTTTAGTGCACATGCTCTAGAACATCTTTGGAATCGACAGGAGTAAAGTTGGGACTTACGACCAAATCGACGTACGAACAGACCTCTAGAACCAAACTCGTTTGTAAGTGGAGGAGTCGCTGTACTCGGGCTTGAACCACTCTTTTTACGACGCATGATCCGGCTAATCCGTGGCTCGGCTCAGGTTCACAGCTCATAGAAATCCTGAGCCATGGCTGGGACCATTGCTCAGGGGCTGGCTCAAGTTAAGCGTGGCTCTGCCTCGAGCCATGGCTCTCTCGAGCCAGAGGTAACCCTGAGCCAAGCCGTAGAGATGCATTGCAGTTTGGCGCCCTGTTGTGTAGCTTTGAAACACACCCAATTCAGTTCCGCAACTTCGTTTGTCTAAACCACACTTCTGAGAATTTGGATTAATATTGGGGGATCGGGGGGATCGGGGTGGACGGGGCGGGCGGGGCCGGGGGGATCATTCACAACATCGTCACATTGCCGAGCACAAAAAATAAATACAACGTAAAAAATGAAAACGCCCCACCGCGTCCGAGGAGACCGCGACCCAAGCGAGCCGACGGGCGGGCGGTCACCTTGGTGGTCGTGTCGGCCACGTAGGCGAAGCTGATGCCCAGCAGCGTGGTGGTGCCCCCCAGGAAACCGGTGAGGACGTTGGAGACGTAGAGGACCCACAGGGGCAGCTCGAAGTACACGAGCAGGATGAAGATTACGGTGGAGAGGATGTCGCCGAAGAGGGGCAGCATCAGCGCCAAGCGGCGGCCGTGGTTGTCGCTGAGCGCGCCCAGCGCCAGCCCAGCCACCATGATGGGCACGAAGCCCGACAGGGAGAGGTAGAGGTAGAACTGGGACGTCTGCTCCTGCGCTTGCTGCAGGAGCGGCAACGGCAATGGCGAGACGCGAGATCACACCCCTGGGTTACCGAGATGCGAGATCTCACCCCTGGGTTACCGAGATGCGAGGTCACACCCCTGGGTTACCGAGATGCGAAATCTCACCCCTGGGTACCGAGATACGAGATCTCACCCCTGGGTACCGAGATACGAGATCACACCCCTGGCTACTGAGATGCGAGATCTCACCCCTGGGTACCGAGATACGAGATCACACCCCTGGGTTACCGAGATGCGAGATCACACCCCTGGGTACCGAGATGCGAAATCTCACCCCTGGGTTACCGAGATACGAGATCACACCCCTGGGTACCGAGATACGAGATCTCACCCCTGGGTACCGAGATACGAGGTCACACCCCTGGGTTACCGAGATACGAGATCACACCCCTGGGTTACCGAGATGCGAAATCTCACCCCTGGGTTACCGAGATACGAGATCACACCCCTGGGTTACCGAGATGCGAAATCTCACCCCTGGGTACCGAGATACGAGGTCACACCCCTGGGTTACCGAGATACGAGATCACACCCCTGGGTTACCGAGATACGAGATCACACCCCTGGGTTACCGAGATGCGAAATCTCACCCCTGGGTTACCGAGATGCGAGGTCACACCCCTGGGTTACCGAGATGCGAGATCACACCCCTGGGTACCGAGATACGAGATCACACCCCTGGGTTACCGAGATACGAGATCACACCCCTGGGTTACCGAGATACGAGATCACACCCCTGGGTTACCGAGATACGAGATCACACCCCTGGGTTACCGAGATGCGAAATCTCACCCCTGGGTACCGAGATACGAGATCACACCCCTGGCTACCGAGATACGAGATCACACCCCTGGGTACCGAGATGCGAGATCTCACCCCTGGGTACCGAGATAAGAGATCACACCCCTGGGTACCGAGATGCGAGATCACACCCCTGGGTACCGAGATAAGAGATCACACCCCTGGGTACCGAGATACGAGATCTCACCCCTGGGTACCGAAATGCGAGATCTCACCCCTGGCTACCGAGATGCGAGATCTCACCCCTGGCTACCGAGATGCGAGATCTCACCCCTGGGTACCGAGATACGAGATCACACCCCTGGGTACCGAGATACGAGATCACACCCCTGGGTTACCGAGATGCGAAATCTCACCCCTGGGTACCGAGATACGAGATCACACCCCTGGCTACCGAGATACGAGATCACACCCCTGGGTACCGAGATGCGAGATCTCACCCCTGGGTACCGAGATAAGAGATCACACCCCTGGGTACCGAGATGCGAGATCACACCCCTGGGTACCGAGATAAGAGATCACACCCCTGGGTACCGAGATACGAGATCTCACCCCTGGGTACCGAAATGCGAAATCTCACCCCTGGCTACCGAGATGCGAGATCTCACCCCTGGGTACCGAGATACGAGATCACACCCCTGGATACCGAGATACGTGATCACACCCCTGGGTTACCGAGATGCGAAATCTCACCCCTGGGTACCGAGATACGAGATCACACCCCTGGCTACCGAGATACGAGATCACACCCCTGGGTACCGAGATGCGAGATCTCACCCCTGGGTACCGAGATAAGAGATCACCCCCCTGGGTACCGAGATGCGAGATAACACCCCTGGGTACCGAGATAAGAGATCACACCCCTGGGTACCGAGATACGAGATCTCACCCCTGGGTACCGAAATGCGAGATCTCACCCCTGGCTACCGAGATGCGAGATCTCACCCCTGGCTACCGAGATGCGAGATCTCACCCCTGGGTACCGAGATACGAGATCACACCCCTGGGTACCGAGATACGAGATCACACCCCTGGCTACTGAGATGCGAGATCTCACCCCTGGGTACCGAGATACGAGATCACACCCCTGGCTACTGAGATACGAGATCACACCCCTGGGTACCGAGATGCGAGATCTCACCCCTGGGTACCGAGATACGAGATCACACCCCTGGGTACCGAGATACGAGATCACACCCTTGGCTACTGAGATGCGAGATCTCACCCCTGGGTACCGAGATACGAGATCACACCCCTGAGTACCGAGATACGAGATCACACCCCTGGGTACCGAGATGCGAAATCTCACCCCTGGGTACCGAGATACGAGATCACACCCCTGGGTTACCGAGATGCGAGATCTCACCCCTGGCTACTGAGATACGAGATCACACCTCTGGGTACCGAGATACGAGATCACACCCCTGGGTACCGAGATACGAGATCTCACCCCTGGGTACCGAGATACGAGATCTCACCCCTGGCTACCGAGATGCGAGATCTCACCCCTGGGTACCGAGATACGAGATCTCACCCCTGGGTACCGAGATACGATATCTCACCCCTGGCTACCGAGATGCGAGATCACACCCCTGGCTACTGAGATAAGAGATCTCACCCCTGGGTACCGAGATACGAGATCACACCCCTGGCTACCGAGATAAGAGATCTCACCCCTGGCTACCGAGATACGAGATCTCACCCCTGGGTACCGAGATACGAGATCACACCCCTGGGTACCGAGATACGAGATCACACCCCTGGGTACCGAGATACGAGATCACACCCCTGGGTACCGAGATACGAGATCACACCCCTGGGTACCGAGATACGAGATCACACCCCTGGGTACCGAGATAAGAGATCTCACCCCTGGGTACCGAGATACGAGATCACACCCCTGGTCTACCGAGATAAGAGATCTCGCCCCTGGGTACCGAGATAAGAGATCTCGCCCCTGGGTACCGAGATACGAGATCTCACCCCTGGCTACCGAGATACGAGATCTCACCCCTGGCTACCGAGATAAGAGATCTCACCCCTGGGTGCTGCCACCTTCTACACGGCTGCCACACTGCAGACACGCCACCTCAGCAAGGCGACAAAAGCCGCTTCGTTGAGCTATCACTTGCGGTAGCCGAACGTGAAGAACAATCAATTAATATCTCCCCTGAACATGTCGACATACAGACAACTCCTATGTCTCTTCTGAATGCATCCTCCATCTCCCAAACACTCCTCCTGAATCTCCCAAACACTCCTCCTGAATCTCCCAAACACCACTCCTGAATCTCCCGAAACACTCCTCCTGAATCTCCCAAACACTCCTGAATCTCCTAAACACTCCTCCTGAATCTCCCAAACACTCCTCCTGAATCTCCCAAACACTCCTCCTGAATCTCCCAAACACTCCTCCTGAATCTCCCAAACACTCCTCCTGAATCTCCCAAACACCCCTCTTGAATCTCCCAAACACTCCTCCTGAATCTCCCGAAACATTCCTCCTGAATCTCCCAAACACACCTCCTGAATCTCCCAAACACCCCTCCTGAATCTCCCAAACACTCCTCCTGAATCTCCCAAACACTCCTCCTGAATCTCCCAAACACTCCTCCTGAATCTCCCGAAACACTCCTCCTGAATCTCCCAAACACTCCTCCTGAATCTCCCAAACACTATTCCTGAATCTCCCAAACACTCCTCCTGAATCTCTCAAACACTCCTCCTGAATATCCCAAACACTCCTCTTGAATCTCCCAAACACCCCTCCTGAATCTCCCAAACACTCCTCCTGAATCTCCCAAACACTCCTCCTGAATCTCCCGAAACACTCCTCCTGAATCTCCCAAACACTCCTCCTGAATCTCCCAAACACTATTCCTGAATCTCCCAAACACTCCTCCTGAATCTCCCAAACACTCCTCCTGAATCTCCCGAAACACTCCTCCTGAATCTCCCAAACACTCCTCCTGAATCTCCCAAACACTCCTCCTGAATCTCCCAAACACCCCTCCTGAATCTCCCGAAACACTCCTCCTGAATCTCCCAAACACTCCTCCTGAATCTCCCAAACACTCCTCCTGAATCTCCCAAACACTCCTCCTGAATCTCCCGAAACACTCCTCCTGAATCTCCCGAAACACTCCTCCTGAATCTCCCAAACACTCCTCCTGAATCTCCCAAACACTCCTGAATCTCCCAAACACCCCTCCTGAATCTCCCAAACACTCCTCCTGAATCTCCCAAACACTCCTCCTGAATCTCCCAAACACCCGTCCGGAATCTCCCAAACACTCCTCCTGAATCTCCCAAACACCCCTCCTGAATCTCCCAAACACCCCTCCTGAATCTCCCAAACACTCCTCCTGAATCTCCCAAACACCCCTCCTGAATCTCCCAAACACTCCTCCTGAATCTCCCGAAACACTCCTCCTGAATCTCCCAAACACTTCTCCTGAATCTCCCAAACACCCCTCCTGAATCTCCCGAAACACTCCTCCTGAATCTCTCAAACACCCCTCCTGAATCTCCCGAAACACTCCTCCTGAATCTCCCAAACACTCCTCCTGAATCTCCCAAACACTCCTCCTGAATCTCCCAAACACTCCTCCTGAATCTCCCAAACACTCCTCCTGAATCTCCCAAACACCCCTCTTGAATCTCCCAAACACTCCTCCTGAATCTCCCGAAACATTCCTCCTGAATCTCCCAAACACACCTCCTGAATCTCCCAAACACCCCTCCTGAATCTCCCAAACACTCCTCCTGAATCTCCCGAAACACTCCTCCTGAATCTCCCAAACACTCCTCCTGAATCTCCCAAACACTATTCCTGAATCTCCCAAACACTCCTCCTGAATCTCTCAAACACTCCTCCTGAATATCCCAAACACTCCTCTTGAATCTCCCAAACACCCCTCCTGAATCTCCCAAACACTCCTCCTGAATCTCCCAAACACTCCTCCTGAATCTCCCGAAACACTCCTCCTGAATCTCCCAAACACTCCTCCTGAATCTCCCAAACACTATTCCTGAATCTCCCAAACACTCCTCCTGAATCTCCCAAACACTCCTCCTGAATCTCCCGAAACACTCCTCCTGAATCTCCCAAACACTCCTCCTGAATCTCCCAAACACTCCTCCTGAATCTCCCAAACACCCCTCCTGAATCTCCCGAAACACTCCTCCTGAATCTCCCAAACACTCCTCCTGAATCTCCCAAACACTCCTCCTGAATCTCCCAAACACTCCTCCTGAATCTCCCGAAACACTCCTCCTGAATCTCCCGAAACACTCCTCCTGAATCTCCCAAACACTCCTCCTGAATCTCCCAAACACTCCTGAATCTCCCAAACACCCCTCCTGAATCTCCCAAACACTCCTCCTGAATCTCCCAAACACTCCTCCTGAATCTCCCAAACACCCGTCCGGAATCTCCCAAACACTCCTCCTGAATCTCCCAAACACCCCTCCTGAATCTCCCAAACACCCCTCCTGAATCTCCCAAACACTCCTCCTGAATCTCCCAAACACCCCTCCTGAATCTCCCAAACACTCCTCCTGAATCTCCCGAAACACTCCTCCTGAATCTCCCAAACACTTCTCCTGAATCTCCCAAACACCCCTCCTGAATCTCCCGAAACACTCCTCCTGAATCTCTCAAACACCCCTCCTGAATCTCCCGAAACACTCCTCCTGAATCTCCCAAACACTCCTCCTGAATCTCCCAAACACTCCTCCTGAATCTCCCAAACACTCCTCCTGAATCTCCCGAAACACTCCTCCTGAATCTCCCGAAACACTCCTCCTGAATCTCCCCCCCCCCCCCCCCCCCCCCCCCCCCCCCCACCACCACATCCTACAGGCCCCTCTTTCACCTCCTCCGCCTTGGAGCTGACGGAGGCGTTGAGCCCCGCGCAGTTTTCCTGCGAGCCGTTGGCGGCACCGCTGCCGTTACCGGCGGCGGTGCTGCGCGAGCCGTTCCCGATCTCGTGCAGGATGCGGTTGTAGATGTACACGCTGCTCGGAGGGCCCGACAGGGTCTGGCCGAACAGGTAGATGATGACCAGCGGCTCGACGAAGCGAAGTCGATAGCCCATCGTGGTGAGTGACTCGCACAGCGCACACCTTGGGAGAGGGAGGGAGGGAGGGTGGGCGGGTGGACGTCACGACGATATTACTGGCTCCACAATAAAACATTTTTGGGTTGGATCGCGTAAATATATAAATGTTGTGTCGTTAAACCCGTCACTACCCGACACAGCCAACTAGTAAGGGTTGTCACGTGAACAGAACGTGGCCAATTCGTCACTAGTACAGCACTAGTCTATAGTAGTGTAGTGTATAGTGTAGTGTATAGTGTAGTGTATAGTAGTGTAGTGTATAGTGTAGTGTATAGTAGTGTAGTGTATAGTGTAGTATATTAGTACAGCACTAGTGTATAGTAGTGTAGTGTATAGTGTAGTGTATAGTGTGGTGTATAGTGTAGTGTATAGTAGTGTAGTGTATAGTGTAGTGTATAGTGTAGTGTATAGTAGTGTAGTGTATAGTAGTGTAGTGTATAGTGTAGTGTATAGTGTAGTGTATAGTGTAGTGTATAATAGTGTAGTGTATAGTAGTGTAGTGTATAGTAGTGTAGTGTATAGTGTAGTGTATAGTGTAGTGTATAGTGTAGTGTATAGTGTAGTGTATAGTAGTGTAGTGTATAGTGTAGTGTATAGTGTAGTGTATAGTGTAGTGTATAGTGTAGTATATTAGTACAGCACTAACCGGTTGTGTGTTTGAGAGCCAGGCCACAACATTTACGATCTTAGTGCCGTGACGTTTCGCCAGAAATTACAACCGGCTTCATCAGGCCACAGCCAGATGAACACCGGCGTGGATGTGGCGACGACTCTCAGTGCGCCCTTCTGGTTCATGGTGAGGTCCGTGGTGGCGGTGGCGGGGAGCGGTGGCGCAGCGGTTAGCGCCGCGCCACGACCCGCCGACCCGGGTTCCGATTCCCGCTCACGGCCACCAACGCCGGTGACGATTATCTGAACCGGTCCTGCGCCTCCCCTAGGTCGACTCGGCCTTAAATGAGTACCCGGTGCGATGGGTAAACATCGCCACCGGCGAGACAAAGGCGGCCGGGCGTGGCGCTGGCCACCCAGCCCCTCGTGTGCCACGGTGCCGGCCTTCGTAGGTGCCGCTACTCGCTAACAGCACTTGCCCCAACAGTCTGTTAGAGGCTACACGTCGGGGGGAATCTTTGTCTTTGCCTTGGCTGGGTGCAGCGAGAGGGGGGAGGGGCCACAGTGGCACGGAGACGTCGCGAGCGGCGTGGGGAGGCCGCCACACGCTGCAAGACATTGCTGGGGGAAGAGAGCAGATGACGATGATGGGGGTGATGGTGATGGGGGGGGGGGGGGTGATGGTGATGGGGGGGGTGATGGTGATGGGGGGGGGTGATGGGGGGGGGTGATGGTGATGATGGTGATGGGGGGGGGTGATGGTGATGATGGTGATGGGGGGGGGTGATGATGGGGGTGATGATGATGATGGAGGTGATGATGATGGGGGTGATGGTGATGGAGGTGATGATGATGGGGGTGATGGTGATGGGGGTGATGGTGATGGGGGGGGGGGGGGTGATGATGGGGGTGATGGTGATGGGGGGGGGGGGTGATGGTGATGGGGGGGGGGTGATGGTGATGGGGGGGGGTGATGGGGGGGGGGGTGATGGTGATGATGGTGATGGGGGGGGGGTGATGGTGATGATGGTGATGGGGGGGGGTGATGATGGGGGTGATGATGATGGGGGTGACTCTGTCCTAGGGGGCGACTCTGTCCTAGGGGTGTGTGGGGGACGACCATGCAGGGCAAGCGGGGGGGGTCTACGGGGGGGGGTCTACGGGGGGGTCTACGGGGGGGGCTACAGGGGGGGGCTACAGGGGAGGGCTACAGGGGGGGGGCTACAGGGGGAGGCTACAGGGGGGGGTACTACAGGGGGGGCTACAGGGGGGGGGGCTACAGGGGGGGGCTACAGGGGGGGGGGCTACAGGGGGGGCTACAGGGGGGGGCTACAGGGGGGGGGGGGCTACAGGGGGGGCTACAGGACATTTGTGAAGAGGCAAAGTGGAGTCACGGGCAGGGCCACGGAGGAGGAGGCTGGACAGCTGCTGGACGAGGCGTGGGAAGAGTGGAAGAGGGGGAGCCCCCCCCCACTCCCCTCCCTCCCCCCCCCCCCACTCCCCCCCCACTCCCCTCCCTCCCCCCCCCACCCCCCCCCCCCACTCCCCCCCCCCACTCCCCCAGTGGAGGGGCTCGCAGCGAGTGGCACCCGCAGGTGGCCGCGGTCGAGAGAGGAGCGGTGGGAGAGCGGTGGGGTTGGTGTGCGGCGTGAGAGAAACGACCTCGTGGCAGCGAGCGAGCGAGCGAGAGACGAGAGACGAGGAGGAGCACGACGTGAGTCTGGCCCTGGCTTAGCGGAGTTGGATTGTGGACTGCCCTGCTGCGATTGATCCCTCGGTGGCATTGAAAGTCAAACTACAGCGCGCACAATAAACCCACTGTGCCCTATGCTTCTTCTCAATCTTGATTTGAAGCTTTCGTGACTGCAGGAATCCATAATCTCTTTGGTTCCTTCGCTCAAGTGATCACGTAGTTGTTGTTTTTTTCTTGCTGTGGTTGTCCCACCTGATGACGAATGGCTTGCGTTGCGATCGAAACGTCGTTTTCTGTTATTATTTTTCCACCTACGTGACTTTACCGAAAGAATCGAAGGGCAAGGACGACTCAACTCTCTTAAAGTTTAAATTTCATCGGCTAAAAGCCCAAACCGAGCTCTGTAGCTCGTTGTGTTCAGTCGGTGAGCGACCGGGCTATGATAGCTCAGCCGAACGGCTTATCATCATCATCATCACGTGGACATTTATTAGCAGCAGCCAAATTCCTGTAAACGCGTGGTAACGTCGATTCTAAACGTGGAGGGGAAATCCGGAGGAGGAACCGGAGACAAATCCACGCAGCGACCACGGGGAGAGAGAGAGACACGCAGACTCCAAATATACAGCAGCAGCAGCAGGCGTCAGGGTCTGGATCGACCACACGACGTCCTGTCTACCAGGCGAGGAAGTTAACATCTCCTTGTGCCAAACTTAAAAAAAAATGTTTAGTGTAGAGTAGTTTATAGTGTAGTGTATAGTGTAGTGTATAGTGTATAGTGTGCAGTGTATAGTGTAGTGTATAGTGTAGTGTGTAGTGTATAGTGTGTAATGTATAGTGTAGTGTATAATGTAGTGTATAGTGTAGTGTGTAGTGTATAGTGTAGTGTATAGTGTAGTATAGTGTATAGCGTAGTATAGTGTGTAGTGTTTAGTGTAGTGTATAGTGTATTGTATAGTGTAGTGTATAGTAGTGTATAGTGTAGTGTATAGTGTAGTGTATAGTGTAGTGTGTAGTTTAGTGTATAGTGTGGTGTATAGTGTAGTGTATAGTATAGTGTATAGTGTAGTGTATAGTGTAGTGCAGGGGTGGGCACATTTTTTGAGTCGCGGGCCACAATGGGTTCTAAACTTTGACAGAGTGGCCGGGCCAGGAACAGATGGATGGAGTGTTTGTGTGAAGTCATATAAATGACGTGTAAAAATCATTACATGAAAGGATTTGGCCTTTAACAGGTAGCAAAGCATTTACTTGCAAGGCAAAGTGCGCCATCTAATGGGGAAATGGGGGGCATTACAGGAGAAAGGTAAAATTTAACTTAATAATAATAATATTTGGACAAGTTCGACGGGCCGGATTAAAGAGCCGAACGGGCCGTACTTTGCCCATGTCTGGTGTAGTGTATAGTGTAGTGTATAGTGTACTGTAGTGTATAGTGTAGTGTATAGTGTAGTGTATGGTGTACTATAGTGTGTAGTGTAGTGTATAGTGTAGTGTATAGTGTACTATAGTGTGTAGTGTATAGTGTAGTGTATAGTGTACTATAGTGTGTAGTGTATAGTGTAGTGTATAGTGTACTATAGTGTGTAGTGTATAGTGTAGTGTATAGTGTACTATAGTGTGTAGTGTATAGTGTAGTGTATAGTGTAGTGTTTACTCTATAGGATCTCAAATCGCCGCGCGATGTGGTGACCGCCTTGAGGCTGGCGAGCGGCACGGCGTGATGGCGATGCCTCGCAGCAGACCCCAGCGCGTGGTCTGTCGGCAGGCTGCGGGGTACGCTGTGGACCCCTCGCCCCTCGTCTCGAGAAGACGAGGGGCGAGGGCTCTCCCCTCTTTGGGCAGTGCTCACTTCGGCAGCAGGGGCGAGACCGCGCAATTGCGCGGCTGCGCCTCTACCGTCGCTTCCTTTGAACCCAAAGTTATATTTGTGTTTTATTCTGCCAGGTAAGGGCCACCGAGACTTGTAACTCTTTTTTGTCTTCCAGAAGTGACCCGGCCATCACGAATGGGGAAACCCCTGGAGAACAAATCCACGCGACCACGGCGAGAGAGACACGAGGAGAGAGGCACGGGGAGAGAGAGACACGGGGAGAGAGAGACACGGAGAGAGGGAGAGAGAGAGACACGAAGAGAGAGACACGGGGAGAGAGGGAGAGAGAGAGAGACACGAGGAGAGAGACACGGAGAGAGAGAGACACGGGAGAGAGAGACACGGGAGAGAGAGACACGAGGAGAGAGAGACACGAGGAGAGAGACACGGGAGAGAGACACGGAGAGAGAGACACGGGGAGAGAGAGTCACGGGGAGAGAGAGACACGAGGAGAGAGAGAGACACGGGGGGAGAGAGAGACACGGAGAGAGAGAGACACGGGGAGAGAGAGACACGAGGAGAGAGAGACACGGAGAGAGAGAGAGAGACGGAGAGAGAGAGACACGGAAAGAGAGAGACACGGAGAGAGAGAGACACGGGGAGAGAGAGACACGGGGGGAGAGACACGGAGAGAGAGAGACACGAGGAGAGAGAGACACGGGGAGAGAGACACGGGGAGAGAGAGACACGGAGAGAGAGACATGGGGAGAGACACGGGGAGAGAGACACGGGGAGAGAGACACGGGGAGAGAGAGACACGGGGAGAGAGACACGTGAGAGAGAGACACGGGAGAGAGAGACACGAGGAGAGAGAGACACGCGGAGAGAGACACGGGAGAGAGACACGGAGAGAGAGACACGGGGAGAGAGAGTCACGGGGAGAGAGAGACACGGAGAGAGAGAGACACGGGGAGAGAGAGACACGGGGGGAGAGACACGGGGCGAGAGAGAGACACGGGGAGAGAGACACGGGGAGAGAGAGAGACAGAGAGAGACACGGGGAGAGAGAGAGACACATCTTTTTCTCGTTCTGTACACCGCCATCTTCGCCTGAGCACAGGCGAAGATGGCATTGTCAGGGTCTGGATCGAACCCACGACCTCCTGTCTACCTGGCGAGGTAGTCAACATCTCATAGCCACCGTGATGAAGATGAGAGAGAGAGACCGCAAACTTCAAATATACAGCAGCAGGCATTGTCAGGATCAGGATTGAACCCACGACGTCCTGTCTACCAGGCGAGGTAGTCAACATCTCATAGCCACCGTGATGATGATGAGAGAGAGACACCGCAAACTCCAAATATACAGCAGCAGCAACAGGCATTGTCAGGGTCAGGATTGAACCCACGCTCTCTTGAATACCGGGCGAAGCAGTTGCAACGGGTGGAACTATACCAACAACAACTACAACAACAAATACAGCAACTACAACAACAAATACAGCAACTACAACAAGCGCGTGCGGACGTCACGTTTCACGCCCCCCCCCGGTCGGGGATTTCCCTGCCACTGTCACCGTCGTCACCAGCGAGGCACCACCCCCCCCACAACTCTTTGATACATGGCGGTGAAGTATGGTTGGCAAGGGACCCACAGCCAAGGAAATCGACACGCCGTGGGGAGGAACGTTTGAGCTCTTCCGGCAATGGAGAGAGCCCAGGAGCGGGGCCGTGCATTGCTATTGGGGAAGTGCACACAGCTTCCTTAAAATACTAAATATAGTTTTAATACAAATGTGGTATTAAAAAAAACAGAGAGAGACACGGGGAGAGAGAGAGAGAGACACGGGAGAGAAAGACACGGGGAGAGAGACACGGGGAGAGAGAGACACGGGGAGAGAGAGAGACACGGGGAGAGAGAGACACGGAGAGAGAGAGACACGGGGAGAGAGAGACACGGGGAGAGAGAGACACGGGGAGAGAGAGACACGGGGAGAGAGACACGGGGAGAGAGACACGGGGAGAGAGACACGGGGAGAGAGAGACACGGGGAGAGAGAGACACGGGGAGAGAGAAACGGGGAGAGAGACACGGGGAGAGAGAGACACGGGAAGAGAGACACGGGGAGAGAGACACGGGGAGAGAGAGAAACCCAAACTCCAAATACACAGCAGCAGGCATCGTCAGGGTCGGGATCGAACTCACGAACCTCTTGCATACCAGGCGAGGTAGTCAACATCTCCTAGCCACCGTGGCGATGCACAAACCTACTTGCCGTGCGAACTGACTTCGTAGGCACTACAGCTCCCAATCTCTGAGAGAGTCACCAACCCCAGATTAAAAGCAGCGCGTTAGGAGAGAGACGCGGAGATGGAGAGCGAAACACGGGGAGAGAGACACGGGGAGACAGAGAGAGACACGGGGAGGCAGAGACACGGAAACAGAGACACGGGGACAGAGACACGGAGACAGAGACACGGAGACAGAGACACGGAGACAGAGACACGGGGAGACAGAGACACGGGGACAGAGAGACACGGAGACAGAGACACGGAGACAACGGAGACAGAGACACGGGGAGACAGAGAGAGAGAGAGACACGGAGACAGAGACACGGAGACAGAGACACGGGGAGACAGAGAGAGACACGGAGACAGAGACACGGAGACAGAGACACGGAGACACAGAGACACGGGGAGACAGAAACACGGGGACACGGAGACACGGGGACTCACTATTTCTCGACCTCCTTCGCCTCTGGCTCTCTCCAAGGTGCTCCCACTCGGAGTTTATAGACGGGCCGGGAGTGGGGGGCGGGGCTAGGGAGGAAGTGGGGGGGGGTCTCAGATGAGACCGCGCCCAAGTAGCCTCAGCAGTAAGGAAGGCGTCATCAGCCATGATCTCTCCACTGCTCGATGAGGGCCACTCCAAGCCGCCCCCTTTAAGCCATCAACTCGTCTCACTCACTCGTGAGTGAGACGAGTTGTCTCACTCACGAGTTTCTCACCCACGAGTTGTCTCACTCACGAGTTGTCTCACCCACGAGTTGTCTCACGAGTTGTCTCACTCACGAGTTGTCTCACTCACGAGTTGTCTCACTCACGAGTTGCGCGTGCTCCTCCCTCACCTCTCTCAAACTTTCATTACAAGTTTTTGTTGTTTTTGTTGTTTTTGTTGTTGTTTTGTTGTTGTTATCACCACGAACAAGCAGCCTCCCCGCGCACAACTTTTTGTTGTCACGTGACCGTCCCTTCCTCCCTCCCTCCGTCCAGCCAGGCAGCCAGCCAGCCAGTCAAACTTTTATTATTCTCATGCCCTGTACCGTGAACCCCCGCGCCCCGCCCCCTCTCTTACGTCACAATGCCCAGGCCGCCCCACGCTCCCCACAAGCCCCCCCCCCCTACCGAGGCTTTGGCCTCCATCCAATCAGAACGCGCGCTGGGCGACCAGCCAGCCAGCGAAACTTTCTCTTCTCCCGAATACTGAATAGTGACGTATAATCATCGCGATCATCATCACGATCATCATCACGATCATCATCACTAGAATCACAATCATAGGAATGTTGTCTACATCATTGGCATGAAGCCCCCGTCATAGGAATGTGGAATTTCCCCCGAGACGCCACCCATCAAGAGTGGGTGGCGTGTTGAGATGGCCTGCTCTGACCCCGTATATCCTACACGGACTGTTGGGGCTAAGCGGTGTTAGCGAGCACCTATTAAGGTCGACACGGCACACGGGGGGGGGGGGTGGGTGGGTGGCCAGCACCACGCCCGACCGCCTTTGTCTCCCCAGTGGCGATGCTTACTACACACCGCACCAGGTACTCATTTGCGGCCGAGTCGACCTAGGGGAGGGCCTAGGACCGGTCCAGATAATCGTCACCGGTGTAGAACCGTGAGCGGGAATCGAACTCGGGTGGCACAGCGCAGCGTAGCGCGCTAACCACTGCGCCCACCGCTCCTCCGAGAGACTCGGGGACGTCACGGGCCGGGTCGTGCGTGCGCTCCACGCGAGCCACGTGGTCCCCGCCCACAGCTTGGAAAGTCCCCGGCGAGGAGGTTCGCAGAAGCCGCCGCCCCTCGTGCAGAGAGCCGCAGACGCGGAGCGAGGCGTGGACTGTACACACACAGGCGCGCTGCTGCGATTGCGGCCAAGCAATCCACGCGATAGACCACGTGGTGAGCCCATAGAGACCCATAGAGATGCATAGAGACCCACAGAGATGCATAGAGAGTCGCAGAGACCCATAGAGACCCACAAAGACTCACAGACCCACAGAGATGCACAGAGAGTCGTAGAGACCCATAGAGACTCACAGAGACTCACAGACCCACAGAGATGCATAGAGAGTCGTAGAGACCCATAGAGACTCATCGAGACGCCGATATGTACATAGAGACCCGTAGATACACCAATAGATACATGGAGACTCACAGAGACTCACAGACCCACAGAGATGCACAGAGAGTCGTGGAGACCCATAGAGACTCACAGAGACTCACAGACCCACAGAGATGCATAGAGAGTCGTAGAGACCCATAGAGACTCACAGAGACTCACAGACCCACAGAGATGCATAGAGAGTCGTAGAGACCCATAGAGACTCATCGAGACACCGATACGTACATAGAGACCCGAAGATACACCAATAGATACATGGAGACTCACAGAGACTCACAGACCCACAGAGATGCACAGAGAGTCGTAGAGACCCATAGAGACTCACAGAGACTCACAGACCCACGGAGATGCATAGAGAGTCGTAGAGACCCATAGAGACTCATCGAGACGCCGATATGTACATAGAGACCCGTAGATACAGCAATAGATACTCACAGAGACTCACAGACCCACAGAGATGCATAGAGATACTTTAAAGACACAAGCAACAGCACTGTGAGCGTGGGCGTGCCGGCCAAGCCACGGACCTCGCAGTGAACCCACAGCGGTCTGCGCCCCTCCAACAGAGGAGGAACAGCGGACACGACACGAAATCTCTCTGTGTCTCTCTGTGTGTCTCTGTGTATCTCTGTGTGTCTCTATGTGTCTCTCTGTCTGTGTCTCTCTCTCTGTGTCTCTTTGTGTCTGTGTCTCTCTCTCTGGCTGTCGGTCTCTGTCTCTGTGTCTCTCTGTGTCTGTGTCTCTCTCTGTGTCTCTCTGTGTGTCTCTGTCTCTGTGTCTCTCTGTGTCTGTGTCTCTCTCTCTGTGTCTCTCTGTGTCTGTGTCTCTCTCTGTGTCTCTCTCTGTGTGTCTCTCTCTCTGTGTGTGTCTCTCTCTGTCTGTGTCTCTCTCTGTGTCTCTGTGTCTCTCTCTGTGTGTGTCTCTGTCTGTCTGTGTCTCTCTCTCTCTGTCTGTGTCTCTCTCTCTGCCTCCCCCTCTGTCTGTGTCTCTCTCTGTCTGTGTCTCTCTCTCTGTCTGTGTCTCTGTCTGTCTGTGTCTCTCTCTGTCTGTCTCTCTCTCTGTGTCTCTCTCTGCGTGTCTCTCTCTGTCTGTGTCTCTCTCTGTCTGTCTCTCTCTTTGTGTGTCTCTATCTGTGTGTGTCTCTCTCTGTGTCTCTCTCTGTGTCTGTGTCTATCTCTCTCTGTCTGTGTCTCTCTCTGTCTGTCTGTGTCTCTGTCTGTCTCTTTCTGTCTGTCTGTGTGTCTCTCTCTGTCTGTGTCTCTCTCTGTGTCTGTCTCTCTCTCTATGTCTGTGTCTCTCTCTGTCTGTCTCCCTCTGTGTCTGTCTCTCTCTGTCTGTGTCTATCTCTGTGTCTGTGTCTCTCTCTGTGTCTCTCTCTGTGTCTTTCTCTCTCTGTCTGTCTCTGTCTGTCTCTATCTGTCTCTGTCTGTCTGTCTCTCTCTGTGTCTATCTCTGTCTGTCTGCGTCTCTTTCTGTGTCTGTGTCTCTCTGTGTTTGTGTCTCTGTCTGTCTCTCTATGTCTCTCCCTGTCTGTGTTTCTCTCTGTCTGTCTGTGTATCTCTCTGTCTGTGTCTCTATCTGTCTCTGTCTGTCTGTCTGTCTCTGTCTGTCTGTCTGTCTCTCTCTGTGTCTGTGTCTATCTCTGTCTGTGTCTCTTTCTGTGTTTCTGTCTGGCTGTGTCTCTCTCTGTGTCTGTCTCTCTCTGTCTGTCTCTCTCTGTCTGTCTCTCTGTGTCTGTGTCTCTCTGTGTCTGTGTCTCTCTTTCGTCGAGGCAGCAGCAGACCTCGACATTGGCATCGAGATCCTAAACAACAACAACAAAAACAACAACAACAACAACAACCTTGCTGCTACTGCATGCTGCCGTGCGCCAGACGACAACAAGACACAGCGACATTCATCTTCATTGTAACTGTTCCACAGGATGTCAGAATGTTCTTCCCAAAACTTTCTGCTAAGTAGGGAACTGACAACTCCTCTCGCTCTCTCGCTCATCCCCACATCCGCATTGAGGGAAACATCTGGGTCACAGTGTGGGACCACGTTGCTTCCGCTGGTCCCAGCCACCTGTGTCTCTCTCTCTCTCTCTTCCCACCGTTGTTTATTTCAGGCCGAGTTGATCCAGAAGAGGGCCGCGCTAGCATGGCACAAAGTAAAGAGCTGCCCCGCGTAGCCTGTAGCAGACTGTTGGGGCAAGTGCTGTGAGCGGGCAGCAGCTATGAAGGCTACCGGCACTGTGGCACACGAGGGGGGTGGGTGACCAGCACCACGCCCGACCGCCTTTGTCTCCCCAGTGGCGATGTTTACTACGCACCGCTCACCGGGCACTCATCTGAGGCCGAGTCGACCTAGGAGTGTGGCCCAGGACCGGTTCAGATAATCGTCACCGGTGTTGGCCTTGAGCGAGAATGGAACCCGGGTGGCCGGGTTCGTAGCGCGGCGTAGCGCGGATTGCTCCTCCTCCATCTCCCCGGGACACAGCACTTGCCCCAACAGTCTGTTGAAGCTATACGGGGGATCTTTGTCTTTGCGTTGTTGTTGTTGTGGCCCAACCTGGCGGGTTTCCGACACTCGGGGCCAAGAGCCACACCGCTCGCGGGTCACCCCTAGGTCGACTCAGCCTCAAACTCGCACCCGCTGCAGAGTGTGATTGTCTGGGGAGACAAAGGCGGCCGGGCGTGGTGTTGCTGGCCAGCCCCTCCCCCCGAACGAATGCAGCTGGGGGGGGGGGGTGGGGGGGGCATTGTCCCGACTACCAACCCAACCACCGCGGCTATAGGGCCGTCCATAAATGACGTCACGCAATTTTGGAGGATTTTTTGCACCCCCCCTCGTCACACGGCGTCACAAAAAGTCAGACCCCCCCCTCAAATATGACGTCATAAAGCTCTGCCCCTCCCCCTCAAAAATAAAAAAATGCTTCAAATCGCTTTAAACTATTGTCACATTGTAGTGCGTATTTAATGTGGCGCTGCACTCTGATGTTGTAGGAGAAAACATTTATTAAAAAGTATATTTAATTAAGTAGAACGTGTTTTGATTTAAAGCTTTCGTGACTGCAGGGATTCATATTCTTGGTTCTTTCGGTTTCCCTTATACGTGACTTTACCGAAAGAACCAAGAATAATAGAACGTGTTGTCTATATTTATTTAAAGTTGCGCATTTTGATGTGACGTCACATTTCTCAAACCCCCCCCCCCCCTCGTCACACATCGTCACAAATGTCAGACCCCCCCCCCCCCCCAGGTGCGTGACGTCATTTATGGACGGCCCCTTAAGTGTGCACCTCGACACTGACTTGTTGTGGAGTTGACCAGGTAGGGCCCCACCTCAACTCCGATTGTGGCTCTCTTTCAGAAGCGACCTGGCCCATCGAAAATGACGGCCTCAACCGA